CATGTATCTTGAATTTTGAATTTTTGAGATTTGTGAAGTTTAAATAATCTGAGAAAAATAGTTACTGTTATTGCACTAGTGCAAATGTATTTAAACTGGATTACAACTAATAAAAATGGATAAAATGTTTCCCAAAGGTGTCGAAGTTTTCTCTGTACAAGATAAGTAATCAATTACAGACTCTGCAATCCTAATGCTGGCATGAAAACTCAAAAAATCAAAACGCAATGTTTTTAGTCCAAAACTGAATTTTGAAGCTTCTATGGGTTTTATTTCACCATATTTTGTTAAATCTGTTAAGCAGCTTTGAAAGTGTGAAGGATTTCCCTTGCAAATGGGATAGGAAATGCGGACATATGTTGGATAAAAAATAGTGAAAACAAACAGAGAAAGTCATCAAAATTTTGAAAGTGTTATGAAATGTTTATGAAATAATGTTCTGTCTTTTTTCTTTAGTAACAATGTTCTATTAGATCTTTATTAGCATCAAACAGTTGTGGAGTAATCCTCCTACAATCTAGTCATATCTTTTTATCCTTTCGGTGTGGGACCCCAATTGGTTCCTGGGGGTTCCCACATATCACCCAACCAGGAATTTTGATGTTTTGACCATTATTGAGGTATTAAAACAACAACAACAACAACAACAACAACAACAACTGGGTCCAGTGATGTAAAAACATTAAACTTAAAACTATTGAATAATACCTCATAGAAATGTCAGTATTAAGTCAGTGCATAAACACTGCATGTGTATGAAAATGTAAAATAAATTGCTAAAAGATGTATAACTTCTTTTGTGAAGGGTGGAAACTATCAACATTAATAACTAGATATCACATCAACATATTCCTTATTCTGTGATGATTTTTTTAAATAAAGCTGGAGTAGATTTCTAGAGGATAGGATGAGGCACTGTTCCTAAATCCAATTCTGTGTTCCACTAAATCTTCCAAATCCTGGACAGATTATGTCCTGTTCTATTACCTCAAAGGCCTAAACTTAAATAGAATGTTTACAACATCGAAAGAAACACAAAGGTTTACTGTTTACATCCCCAACACTGTCAAGATTTGGAACTGTCACAAAAGATTCAATGAAATACTCTTTGACTGCTGGAGGATAAATATTCCTCTCTATTTTACAGGAAATTAAATTATTGTTTTGTAAATGTAAGAGCCCTTGTGACAGTCAAGGCTTTTTCATATTTAATGTTTATCATAGTTAGCACTCAACTGTAAACTTTTCTGTTTCAGCAACGTTATCCTGTTATGTGGCAAGGTCTCCTGGCACTTAAGAATGACCAGGCAGCAGTTCAAATGCATTTTGTATTTGGAAATCCTCATGTGGCAAGAGATTCCTTGCCTTGTAATTCAGATGGCAGCACACCACCTTTGCGAATTGCTCAGCGTATGCGTCTCGAGCAGACTCAGGTTGAGGGAGTTGCTCGTAAGATGCAGGTAAGTAAATAAATCATTTGGATTTGCATGTAGTTGAGAAGGTTAAACTATATCCTGCAATCTTTTTAACCATCGACTCACTATTTCACTGCAACATTCACAGTGTCAGACCCTCGCATTAAAAAAAAAAAAAAAAAAAGCAGCTTGTGTTATTAATAAAATAATGAGAAAGCATAGTGTCAAAGTTGAAAGTGGTTTTAGATTTTTTGAGCAATTCGTTTCTCATGGCCTTTTCACTCCTATACTTTGTCCAACAAGAGAATGAAGTGGATGCAATCAAACCGGATTGCATACTTCCTCTGAACCATGTGGTCTGGTGCCACTGTGCGGTCTGTTGTCTTAGCAGCTGTCACTGCTAGTGGTTGGTGATCTTGAATTCATCCACAGATTGTACAATACCCTTATGTCGCAATGTCCAGGATACATATGAGAATTGGACAAGTTCTTAATTAGGAATGGATATCCTAGCACTTGAAAGGAAAATGGTACATTCACTCAGCATGGTATTTCTAAAGATTGATACAAAAATTGTTGTCAATATGATGGTATGAATGTTTTCCTCACCACAAAAAGGCAAGCTGGTCTTGTTTTGTATATGACAATAATTTTGATTACATTAAACCAAAACTTGCTGAAGCACTGCAGTTGATAGAATGTTTTCGTTACGTTAGAAAGTTATTACATCTGAATCTTAAAATGGATCTATCATCTATCAGTCAGTTGCAAGCTCTGCATTCTTCTTCTGTATTGAGTTGAACTTGTTTAAAATTACAACTGTTTCGCAACATTGTGTTGGCTTTCCTTGCCAATGTTTTACATTTGAGTAGTTGCCTCGAATAGGGATCTTATCAACAAAATTCCAGAAATTACAGAATAACAGGCAAGCATCTGCTGCTAGCCTGTTATTTGCATTGCTTGGGCTGTTCATCATTGACACAGAGGTTGGAAAAGAATGAAAAATATTGAGGAATGGAAGGTTAATAGAAACAAGAAATACCACACATTCTTACAAAAACAGAAATAATTAATACCAGGAAAATGTGCGTCTGAAAGTGTATTTGAATAGTAATGGAACAAATTTCTCTATAACATACTATTTTGAGATTTTCTCAAATATGAATAGCAAGTGTAAATTGATATTATAGTAAATAACATGTCATTATTGTTTGGTAAGTTAGTTTACTGATGCCATAATAAATAAACACTATTTTAGAAGATATAAAAATGAAGTGGTTTCAAGACATATACAAACTGGAAGTACATAACTTCGTTCTTATGGGGGGGAGGGGGGAGGTTAAATTAGCAGATTAAAACCTTTTAGCAAGTGTGCACACCTTGCAACAGAGATTTTACTCTCTTTGAGAAAAAAAAAACTCATGTGATGGAGCATCCTAAAAAATGACAAATTTGAATTGATTCATACTAGAGGATGTACTTGAACCTTTTAGTCACATTGTCCCATATATAGTATAAATAATTTATATATATTTAATATATTTGTAAATTCTTTTGAGCGAGTTTTATTTACTAAATAATTTTTTAAAATAATTTGTAAATGCGGGAATGTAAAATCGAGGTTTTACTGCATTTGCTTTGTTATCTGAAATTGGTATTGTAAGGATGAACAATCGGATCTCATAGATCCTTCGCAGCCAATAGCAATTCAAGGTCAATCACGTTTTTACCCCCAGTTCCCCAGACACTTTCAAAGAGAATATTTTAAAATCTGCAATTTTACAGAAAAGAGATTTGTTGGATGAATGGTGCTTTTGAAATGTCACTACAAAGTGTGTTTGAGACCCAGCATGATGAAACATTGGATTTGCCAAATCCTAACATTTCTTTGAAAAATATTTTAAGATCTTTAGAACTCGTCTTCACATCTCCTTCAGAGCTGCTCCAAAAAATGGTGTATTATGGTATACTATGGAAATTATATAAATGGTATATAATATGGCATTATATAAATGGTGTATTTGTATGCTATTCAAAATTGTGTTGTAAATTTTTCTATTGCAACCCTTGATGAAATTAAATGCTTTATTGGAATTCACATAATAATGAGAAATTTGAGCTATCCTAGAGTTTACATGTATCAAGAACGCCAATCAATAATACCATTAGAAAGAGGTGTCAATTGCTAAATTTAGAAGAGAACATCTACATAGATGAACAGATGGTTCCTTTCAAAGATAAATTGAAATGTAAAACAGTATATGGGCAACAAACCAATAAAGTAGGGGGTAAACATTTTAGTTGTGCGTAGTCAGAGTGGGCTGATGTATGAGAATTGTTTTAGAAAGCTGAATATAGCTTATTTGTACTTGATTCAGCTGTAATAATGAATGTGTCTGAAAGATTCGCAAAGCCTCACTGTAAATTGTTTTGATATTTTTGTAGTGGATTTTGGCTGTATAAATGGCTAACTGAAAGTTCTATGCCATTGGAACTCGAGTCATTCGATATAAAAATGTTTTTAAAAAAATGTAAATGAGGTTAAATATATCTGTTAAACATGCTCTGATGTTCAAATTTTATGATTTATAAAAGAAATGCAGTTTTTAAGTACTTTTTCTATGATTGAAATAAAGTATTTTAGACAATAATGGATTTAATGTTTGTATATCCTTATCGTGGCGATTCAACTGTTTTCTGCTCCAAAACAGGATTGAGATTGTAGATTAATATGTTGTCTTCAGTTTTCTTTAATTTTTAAAACCTTCTGTAAGTAACTAATATTTATATAATTAAATTTTTAGAGATATGCCATTCAGTGTCCATAACAAAAATTGAAAAGTCTAACCAGTTACCCATATTGTTGGCAAAATACTGGAAAGTTTTTTTCTTACGTAATGTAAAGTTGCGTATGTTTTATAATATTAAAGTTGACTTTCCAGTGGCAAGGCTTCTATAAATATGATTTAATATATATTTTGAATAAGAATTTTTAAATATTAGTTTTATGGATGTTACATACATATTATTCAATTTTTTTAAAACTATAATTATAGTTATTTGGATAAGAATCATATGTTTTAGGTTGTATTGTATAATGATTATTTAGTCTTTTATTCTGTATCAATTATATTTTCTTATTAATAATGGTAATTATCCATTATTACAATTCAATTACCCTTTTTTTCTAAAGAATAAATCATTTGTAGTGTGTATCTGAAATCGTATAATTTTTATTCAGTCGTAATTTTCTAATTTATATTTGCCATTGAGAAAAGAAATAGAAACTATATCATTAATTTTTGTTTGTAGAGAAATGGCACCTACATCTTCAGTTGCAAGAGTCGCTAAATAAAAGTAAAAGTTGAGGAACGAAAAACTAGAAAAACGGAATAAATTTCTTGAGAAAAAATAGGAATAGAAACTAGTTGAAAAGGCACAAGATAAAAAATGTTCAAAAGACAAGGAGATGCTAAAACTAAAAAGAGAAATAACGAGAATAAGAATTCAGTATTGGTGTGAAAAGAAATCACTGGAAAAGAATTAACAAAACAAAATGAAAACGCTTGATAAGTTTATGAGAGTCAACAAGCACTCTTAAGAAAGCAGTATGTAAAGCAAGTGATACCTTCCAAATACTGTATGAAGGAATAAAAAGAAGTTTGTCAGCTTATGAGTCATCAATGTCAGTACTGGTGATTTGTATTATTAAAAAAAGTTCAAGGTGTCACATGATTCCCGAAAGTTGTTGAAGAGAATGCCAAAAGGGTTTTTTGAATCAGAAGAAAGCTGGCAAGCACTGGGTAAAAAATTATTTGTGTAATTAAAAGCAAAAAACAAACTAACAGGACAGAAAGTTCTAATACATAGCCAGTACCCACTTTGGACTACTTCCAAAATCCATGCTCTTTAAGTGGTTAAACATAAAAATAAAATTTCTTTTAAGTTTCACCAGTTGTGCCCTGACCATGTGAAGACTCACTGATACTCTGAATTAAGCCCCTTTTCCACATTTGTGAATTTTCATTAACACAAAAATCAATTCTCAAGCTGATGTACAATAGTGCCAAAAGTGAGCCCCTCATAATAAGTAACTGGGAAACATGTTATTTTTCGACATTTAATTGCCAAAATGTGATGTTGAAGGTGAAAGTTTTTTATAAATATTGGATAGGAATCGGTGAATGAAATACTTTCAAGTAGGAACTTTCATCATTTTGAGGGATTTAATGAGAAATATTTTTTGGCAAGCTTTACTAATAACTCGGAAGAAAAGTTAATTTTTCCAAAGAAAACAATATAAAAGTACAGTAACTACATATAATTAATATAATTTAATGCTATTAAGAGAAATTTATGTGATATGTTGCTTTGAGTTCTCATGTATGATCAGCTGTAACAAGTTAGGGTGTGACATCTATAACAATGTCTTTTTAAAAAAATCAATTTCATTATTATCTGCTAAATAATTTGTAAACACCAATACCTTGAAACATCCGAAAAACCGCAAAAAATGTTTATTTAAGTTGATGGAGAAGGGAACCTGAAGTTTTCTTAAATGACTCCATAGCCCTTTTAAGACTTCCCAAATTTTGTGATGTTCATAAGACTCCTATACTTTCAATATCTTTGAAATTAATGAAAGAAAATAATAGAAAAAAATGCTGAAGTAATTTCTTTATTATACCAATCCATTTTGTTCTAAAAATATACACTAAATTCTCCTTGAAATATGTAAGAACAAAAAGATGTCAAAGTGTAATGGCTGAACTGTGGGAACTGATAGGTTTAACAAACTATCCTTCAAACCTAACTCTGAAATAAAAAAAAGAGTAAAGATCAGATATGTATTCAAGAGCTTGTAAGCAAGAACTCGTGCGCTGTGCTTACTCCTCAAATTGACTCCACCGGCACCGAAGATTCATGTAAGCGATGGGATAAAATAAAGAAGGAACATGTGGATGTATAAAAACATGAAATCATGCAACTCTACATTAATTCCATGGGAGGCATAGACAAGTATGATTTCTTAATTGAAATCTACAGAACATTATATTTGATCCAAGAAATGGACTTTACAACTAGTGTTGCACACTACAGATATTGCTGTAACAAATGCCTGGATTAAATATCAAATTCAGGCTTCAGATTTGAAAGTTGATCTGAAGAACATAATGGATTTAATTAATTTTCAGCAACATGTGGCAGAATCATTGATTCTACAGAATCATTAATTCTGCAGAATCAAAGCCCTCCCGAAAAAATGAAGACGTGAATAAACAGAGCGAAAAAATATGTCTCCCAGAGTAACACATCCTAAGAGCGCAGAATTATTAATCCAATTGCAGAAATACAGTAAGGAGTAAACCATCTGCCAGAATTTGTTGATGTAAAGAGTCAACTCCATTGTAAATTTCAAAGTTGCAATGCCAAAACTTTTATCAAATGCATAAAATGTAACATCACAAGGAAGAGTTTGTTTCAAAAAATGTAATTTACAACAAAAGTGTAAAGAAAGAAGAAAATTGAGGAGAATTTGCATTTTTTGTTGGTTTCTTTATACCAAAAAAAAAGTCCAGTTAATTACACTATTTATAACTCAAGAACGGCAGGATGAATTTTAATTATCCCAGATTGTTGGATCCATCTCAACTCCAAATAGCAGAATAACTATTAAAATTTCAGAAAAATTCACTTGATGGCGCTGTAGAACACAACTAACATGTAACCTGTAACACACTCGGCAGAATTGTTTGAATCTATATTGTTAAATGACTCCTAAACAAAGAATTCTAGGGCATTAAAAACTAAAATATTTAAATCTAATGATCTCAAAGAAATATTTCTCACATTGTAATCTGCAGAGATCTTTTTGAACATTGTATTACGTATTTACTGAGTGGACATGGAGAGGGGGGGGGGGAGACGAAGAGAGAGGAAGGGAGATAAAGGACAGAGCAACATCTACTGGTTTTTGCTAGTTTTCAATAAATATTCTCTTTTATGTTTGAATGAATGTTATGAAGAATAATTAAAATAACCTATCACATTTCTTCCTAAAGCCTTTGTCTGCAAAAATATCTCAGACTCACCAAGTGTAGTCAGTGTCCTATATGAGACGATCCGAAATATGGAGACATGAACCGCATTTTATTTATTTTTGGTGATGACACGATAAAATAATATTTAATTAGGAAGTATACCAAATATAAATTTTTTATCACCAAAACTAAAAAAGTCGTGCCGACACGGTTAATGCAGTTTTTGGCAAAATTAATTGTTAGAAAAGATTCAGAGAGAGAGAATAATGCCTCCTTCTGTTTCTTCCATTTTGCCCCACATTATAATGAAGATCACCCTTAATAATAATAATAATAATAATAATAATAATAATAATAATAATAATAATAATAATAATAATAGTTATTATTATTATAATTATTATTATTATTATTATTATTATAATAGTAATGATAATAGTAAAAACCTACTAAATGTGTGTATTTTTGTTGTTAATTTTTATATTGAATGTTAATATGAAAAGTATTCAATGTTGGTGAGATCACTATTCTTTTCATGTCGTTAGATATTTTTTCTATAAATCTAAGATTAGTTTTGTATAAAAAAAATTATATTATGTATTGTTAAAAAGAATTGAAATACTTCAATCACCTACAATGTATCATATGATCTTTTGTTTAGAATAGACTCTTATGTGTACCATTATACTTATTGTAAAATTTGCACTGGAATTGAAAATGTGCAGAAATGTGGCAGACTCGAATATCACTATTGATCTGGTTCTGTGTTCACTAGTAATATATAAGCCGATTTTCATACTAGAGTTGGTAAGGTGCTGCTGTCATTGGTCTAGATTGGTGCTCCATCTCTGAATATGTGCCTCTGGCAGCCACCACCTCTCAGCTGTGTCTACCTAACGGGTGGTACAGAACTTCATATTTTTGTTAATAACTTTCAAATTGTCAAATGCATTTAAAATTTGACTGATGTATTTTTGATAATGCACCATATATCGGTAAAGTCTAGTGAAAATGAAGTGTCGGACATTGTGAATGTTGTGTGGTAGAAAGTCTTAGTTTTGCTGAGTAATATAGTCCTCAAAATTACAGGCAGGTGTGAAATAAGTTGAACTGAATTTCTTCACATCTTTAATTAACTGATAAAGAATTTATATTGCATAAAATTAATTTTTTGTCACAGATGGATAACGAACATTGTATGCTACTGGCTCTTCCGTGTGGTCGTGATCATATGGATGTTCTTCAGCAGAGCAATAATTTACAGACAGGATTTATTACATACCTTCAACAGAAGCAAGCTGCAGGCATTGTGAACATTGCAGCTCCAGGTTCCCAACAGGTAATCTGAGTTAACATTGTGACAATTTAACTAGACATATTTACTTTAGGGGGAGTAAAGGGTAAAATGTAACATTCTGTTATATCTTCAAATAAATTGTCTTCCGTTTGTTAGCAATGACATAACATAAAACATTCTTTTTTAGGCGGCATACGTTGTTCATATTTTCCCATCATGTGACTTTGCCAATGAAAACCTGGCCCGCATTGCACCAGACTTGCTTCATCGTGTTGCTGACTTGGCCCATCTTCTAATCATCATTGCAACAGTTTGAAGTTCCCCTGATTTGTTCTATTAGTGATCTCTTCTCGGATGTGACAAGTATCTAAAATGAAACTCTGAATGCACCAAATAAGAACAGGCCTATGGCTACCAAGAAATGTCCCTTGAATAAAATGTATATTATGGAAATCCACCGAACTAAGAGTTAAATGAGAGTTGTCAAATTTATTTAGTTTTAAATACACGTACCAATTTATATTTTATTTCTTCGGCATGAAGTATGCCATGTATGTTAGTGTTGGAGGACCTCGATATTTTATGTAAGAAATGAGAAAGTTTTGTTGTGATCTAGTCAAAGAATCCTACTACATTTTTCTTTAGTGAGATAATCTATAAAAGTTTGTAGTGTTACAACAGTTTTATGTTCATATGTTGAAACAAAATCGGAAATAATTGTTTTTAATTATAGTGTAAATGGGCCAGTTTTTGGCAGAGACATTGTAAGTTATACATATTGACAACCCAGTCATCCAACTTTACAATAGTACAACTGCTGTGTTTTCGTAAATCGAATAAAAAAGTTGCGAGTGAACAGCCCTGCACAAGACTTGCATTTTGTGCAATCTCAGATGGACAAGACACTGTTTAATACAGTTAGATTTTATAAACTCGAGTTTTTTCGATTTCTTTGAACTCTGATTGGATTGCAGAGATGAGAACTGCTAGTGCAGTTGCATGCATGTTTCTCTGCCTTTTGTTAACACTGAAGAAACAATTAAGTGTGGAAGGACAAGAAAGAAAAGCTGAAAGTGAACATTAAGTACAAGTATACATGTTATCGACTTCACTTTCCATGTTACTGCATTGAATATGTTGTGGACATTTTCATCACTACTGTGTGCCAAGATTCTCCGGCATTGGCCATGGTGTGTTGTCCTCTTGTTCACCATTTCTTATGCCCTTACAAATGCGGTGTGAAATCAGAATAAATGTAATGTAATGTGAATTTCAATTACTAATGCGTGTAGCTGCGAGCAATCAAAACGAATGAATATGTTAATTACTTGATGTACAGTCTTGTAAGTATGTAATAACACTATTGTAAAGTTCTTGTTGCATCTTCATGAAGAAAGAGAAGAAATAATTACAATGCGAAAGAAAACTAAAAAAATTGAAAGCTGGACTGATCTAATCATCATTCATCATTGAAGTTTCAGAATCATTTCATTGCCTGTATATTTTGTACATAAAACATTATTATAATTGTGCATTGTTGTTTCGACTATTTTAGTCCAGGTACCTACAAGTGATACATTATAAATATATACATATATGAATATAGAAGTGTGTATAGTATATATGTATAATGTATATGTGTATATATATACATTTTGATAATATCGTTATCAAAATATGTCCTTGTGTAGATAGCACTGAACACTGCACCCCCCCCCCCCTTCGTCTTCAAGGAAGATTTTCAAACATTTCCAAGTAGTGTGGTCTGTACTAAATTTTCATTTTTCTCCCCAATAGCTGGCTTAACTTAAATGTACGCAAAGGGCATTGTTGAAAAAAAAAACAAAAAAAAAACAACAACTCGGAAATGTAATATTATAGTTTGGTGATGTTTTTCATTTTTAATTTATTTTTTATTTTTTTATTTTTTAAATTTTTATTCTATGGTTTTTATTTTGAAAATATTCAGGATGCAGATTACTGCTATGCAGCAAGTTCATATCTCCCTCTCTTCTCTCTCTTTCTCTATAGTGTGTTTTCAATGTAAGTTTGCTCAAGGTGTACATCCCCAACCAAGATTCTATTTTCAATTTTGATTGTGTACAAGTGAAATCGTTATATATATTTTTTGATGTGTACAAAATGGTTCAAAAATCGAATTAAAAAAAAAGACATGGACACAATTGAAGTGTTTGAAGAAGGATTTTTTGCAGCCAACTCACATCTTGAAGGCCAAACCATAAAAATAAAAAATATAAAAAAATGAACTTGTAAATATTTTCAGAGACTATCTTAGGCTGTGATCTCTCCACATTAAGTTACTGACTTTTCATTTGATAAAAAAAAAAAAAAAAAGATCGTCCAGTGATTTAAGTTATTTGATGAACAAAAGTATAAAGTGTTAATAAAAATTAATGGAAATTAATCTTGTTTCATTTTTTATTCCATTTTTTTGCAGCTTCCTTTTTTTTACCTGTTTTTGTGACATTGTGGAAAGTATTAAATTAATTTTTTGTTTTTACTTTTTAAACATTATTGGGGTTGCATATTACGCATACAAATGAATACATGTAAACTATTCTGAATTTTCATAATCCACCCTTCATTAAAATTGTGTGGGTTTGTGATATGAATTTTATTCCTGAAGGGAATGGATGCCAGTATCATTCTTATTTAAAATGTGTTATAGATTTAAAAAGAAAGACATGTGGAGCCCTCTAGTGAATACATTTTGGACAATGATGTTCATATGTGATATTTATTTTAAGAATAACGTGGAGGGAGTATCACATACTACTGTTATGCAAAACTGGCATAAATTGAAGATTTGCCGAATATAGCAATTTTTATCTAAACAATGAGTATTGTAATGAATGCTCTCAAGGATCACATGCCCATATTTAATTAGATTGTCTTCCAAAAGTTTAGCTATTTGTGAAGATTGTTACAGAGAGAAGTGTGAGTGCATGGCCTAATACACTGATTTGCATAGAGCTGGGCTCCCACTGATGCATATAAATCTGCAAGAGTTCAGTGAATGCTCAAAATTCATGTTCCTATTATTCTTGAAGGTATTTTAAAGTATATTTATATTTAAAACAATGTTTAGCTTATTCATTATTAAATCAGGAGAAGCAAAATACATGAGCTGTAATTTGTAATATAAATCGTGTACAGTGTTTTCACAGATTTACATTCACAGTAGAAAATGTAATATATCTATTATAAATGGAATAGAAGAATTAAATTTTACTTCCACTTAAAATATAACTAGATTTCCAACAGCACGTTTGCTGCACCATTCTCTGGAACGTCCTTCGCAATATTCAACAACAAAATTTAATCAAAACGTTTGAAGTCATTTTTTTTTAAACATTTCATGGGGGCTTCATGTAAAGTACCCTCAAAATTAAAATATAGATTTCAAATTATAGGGGCCGCCACATCAGCCAGAAATGATTGAGGAATACCGATTTTGGAGAAAACCGACTGAACGATTTTTACGCAACTGTTGTGCCCAGACAGACGTTTTGCTGTCAATCGATTTTTCGATATGAAAGACGGATTCTTACTACACCAAGTGTTAGAGGAATTTGTTTTCTATATTTATCAACTGGATTTTCGATTACTTTTCATCGATCATTTCGATAATTTTTCGTTACTAGGGCCCGGCAATAAATTTTTGTGTTGATAATTCCCCGTTTTTCGGTGCACGTTTACAATATCTTCTTTCTCACGCTAGGAAGTGCGAGAAAGTAAAATGAGTCTTAAGATGACCTTAACTCAATTGGACAATTAAAATGTCAGCAGATTAAAATGGTGCCATCTACAGGTAAGTAGTTACAAGTATAACTTTGAGGTCGTCTGTGAATTATGAAATAGTAAAGAGGATGGTGGGGTGAGGAAGCGTTACATATGGGGCTTTTCACTGTGCTTTGGTCCTTATAATTTTCAATATGACGAACATTCGGTCCTGCCAACATCGAATATTTACATGAAGCTAGGCTTTGGAGCTACATTCAAGTATATGCAATTGGAGACACATCAATTCGGTGAATTAATATTATAATACATTAATTTTAATTCACTGGATGTTTTGATACATTGAAATAATTATAATTTGGACCAATTATTTTTATCACTTTGTCCTGAAATTCATAATGCTATAATATGAGAAGTTTTGTTAGACACCATTCTAAAATGAAAGTATAATTAGAAAACTTTAACAGGAATAAGTTAACAAATTACATTCTTAAAAAGATTGTAAATGATTGATAACGACAATGAAAATTGATAATGAATGAAAGGAAAATGTTTAAAAATGGATTTCAAAGTATTTCAGTAGTAAATTTTATTTGTCTGCATTTTATAATTTTCATAATACTACAATAATGCATTTTATCTGAATATTCAACAGTGAAAACTAAGGATGAAGAATTAAAACATTATGTACACATTTTTTTACCAATTAAATTTATTTGACAATGTGTTTTTCCATGAAATAATCTACACTGCCCCTGTTCAGATGTATAATAAATTTATTGTTTTCACAATCATATTAATCCAAAATTTTCTGAGCATTAACTATTGTATTTTTCTAGTTTGTAGTTGACACCTTAAAAAATGTAAGTAGTGAATTCATAACACTTTACTGAATTTAAGACATGGAACCTCATCTTTCTTGTAGTAAACGTGTCAATAGATACCTGCATCTAAAAATTTCTGTCCTTTTCCATTCCCTGGCAAGCTATTTCAAGAACATTCTCATTGAAGTATCCCATTGTATCCCCACTTAATAAGTTGTATTAAGGAGTATGCCTGGAAACAGTGTTCTCTTCAGCTCCCAGCATATTATCAATTACACACCTGCGGGTAATTACTTTTAGCACTTGAAACAAATTAATTTATTCAATAACTTTTTAAACATTTTAATAGAATTGATGAAGGTAAATATAAAAAGATTAAAATTAAAATGAAAGAATAATAATGTACTGCACTTAACATGTATCCTAACAATAAAAATGTATTTTTAAAATTTTCACATTTTACACAAAATGTTAGCAGTATCAGCCATGAGTGAAAAATATCAAAAAGATAAACAAATTTCAAAAATTTTCTGGAGTCAAGTCACCATGACCACAAGACATTGAAAATTAAAAATAACATTAGCTCATCCAGCGAAGCTGGATAGACTTGAATTGTGTAGACCTATCTTTAAATCATTTCTAGTTATTTTATTTACATATCAATAAATACATATAAGAATTATATTTATAAAAAGAGAACTCCTAAAAGTAAAAATAAAAACTATAAAAGAAATATATTTATTAATGTACAAATAGGCAATCAAAGCATTAACACATGTATTCAAAAACACTCTGTCAAAGAGGTCATAGTATATAGGTCAACAGCCCAATTATACGTTCCCAGAAAATTGAAAGAATATTAATATTATAAAAAAAAATTAAAAAGTAGATAGAGTTGTTCTAAATCTAATGATGAATTCACGAAGAATAATTGAGATGAAAGATGAAAAAGGCTAGTCATAGAGATATCTTTTTAGAAATTACAGTGAAAGACTAACCCATAATACTCATAAACAATTAAATTTAAAGTTCATGAAAATAATAACAGCAATAACAATAATAATTATTATTATTATAATAATAATTTGTAATTTTCATTAACTTCTTTAGTTTAGGGTCCAGATAAGTCAGAGACTTATCATCTGGTTCCCGTACAATTCATATAATATGCAAACAATTTTGTCATAAAACATTTTAACAAAAAATTAATACAATTATACAGTTATTAATAATATTTTACATATTTTATTATTTGTACTTTCTGATTAAACTTAACATAGTTATTTGTATATGATGCAAATTAATACATAGTCTCATCACACTTTGCAATAACAGTATATTGTATTAGTTTGGTACACACATTATAAACATTCTTAATTTCACAGAAAATATTTTATGGTTACTCAATTTTGTTTATGAATTTCAATCTAGTCTCTTTCTTTTATTGACAAATATGTCCTATACACTGTTGTTGGTTGTCACACCGCAGGGTTTATTTGCAGCCATGATTTAATTTTGTTGTTAAAGTCTTTGTGGTTGGTTTTTGGGTATTTAATGTCTTTGGGTATCTGGTTGTATAGTTTAGGTATCAGGTACTAAAGAGTTCTTTTTCCATAACTGTTGTATGTTAATGGTATTTGGTACTTTGGATTTCTTGTTTTGTACCCATTTGGTGCATCAATTTTGAATCTATTAGCATTATTGTTCCAAATTATGTTGAGGTACATGTAGAATCCTTTTGGTGTTAGAGTGTTGTAGCAAGTTGGCAGGTCACACTGGCTGAGATTTCTCTTCTTGGCCATTATTTTTAATACTTTAGCCTGTATATTTTCCAATTTGCTTAAGTATGTTCGGCATGCACCACCCCAGGCTTGCACACCATATATCAGTAATGATTCAATTAGAGAGGTATATATGATTTTCAAAATTTGTTCATTTACAAAAGTCTGAATTGAATACATACAGCCAGCTATCATTTTTACTTTGTTGAACAGGTAATTTGTGTGCAAGTTATATCTCACGTACTCATCCAAAACAACTCCTAGATATGAGTAATGTGTTACGTAGTCAATCTTGATACATTTATCACTACATCCAATGGTTGTTCATTGATAATCATGCAGAGTTAATTTTTCTAATTTTAAGTTTTTACGTTTTTTCCGAGTATTGAAATGAATTACTTTGGTTTTCACAGGATTAGCATACAAGTTGTTTTCATATGACCAGTTAACAATGTTGTTAAATTCTGTTTGTAGTTGGTCTTTACATTTGTTTATATCGCTATTAGAGTACAAAAGAGCCGCATCATCTGCATACATGTAAAGTTTGCAATTTTCTATGTTTTTAAATATGTTGTTGGTATATATTAAAAATAGCACTGGCCCCAAGCAACTTCCTTGCGTTACTCCATGTCTGATAGTTTTGGGAACAATCAGTTGTTTGTTCATAATCCATCTCTTTGTTATTGTTGCTAGAGTTAACCGTTACATTACTTTCTGTTATGTTTTCTACTTGTTGAATGAAATGGTCAGCAAACTTATTTACAAGTATATCAGTTCTGAAGTGGCTTCCAAATGCCATCAGCAGTTTGTAATCAATATTTTTATCTGTCTTCCTATTTAGAATGTTGTTCATCTCCTTCCATATTCTTCTGCTATCGTTTTCTTTGTTTTTAAAGAATTGGTCATGATATTCTTTCTTAGCATTTCTGATTTCTTAATTCCTGTATCGTTTATAGGCTTTTTTATATGTTTCATTGTTGGGGTTAGACTTCCATTTCTTGAATTATCTGTCCCTTTCTTTTAGAATATTTATTAGTTTATCTGTCACCCATTTTTTAT